AAATCAAATCAAAAATCAAATCAAAAATCAAATCAAATCAAGCTTAAGCCCACTGTGCTTTGTCTATACATAACATGAAGGTTTCAGTTACTTTTTCTTACCACTGTTTAGAGGTCTACTTTGTACTCAGACTACTGACTGACTCACCATTGCCTTCTGGTCTCCAAGCTTTTCCAGACAAGATGCTCTGTGAAGCTGCAAACACCACCAAAATCCATAAGGACCAAAATGACATCAGCACATCTGTGTTCTCATCAAAAGTAAGATGAACTGAAACCCCCCCCCCAAACCAATGCAGCCTCTTGCGTTAAACACAGCAAGGAACTGCGTTTTTCAGTCTGAACACCAGCTAACAGCTAGGTTTAACAAAGAAACGCTGCTTTCTTCCTGTGACTGTGTGATGATAACTAGGTGCTGGAAAATTTACTGCCACTGTTATTTAGGAATAGCCACATACCTGAAGTAATGTTTGAACAACATCTTCTGTTTTACTCCAGACTTCAAACTGAAAGGTCATTTTCTTTGCTCCCTGTTAAATAAGTCAAAGAAGGTGATTTAATTTGGGAAGCATGTCTTGTTTGAACCAGTCTTACAGCCTTTCCCAAGTTCTCAGAACAGTTTCTGCACTCACTTTGGGTTAAAGGTGGCTTCAACAAAATCACTGTCAATGAGAAAATCATGTTCTAGCTGATATTTAGCTTGTGTCAAATGTGATGCCTTCATGTTCTGAAATGGTATTCACCATCTTATCTGAGGCTTTGTGACTGACTATACTTCATCCAAAGGCAAAACAGAGTATTACCCTTATGTTTCACTTTTTCATTTTACTGACAGTTTAAATTACTGCATAAAAACAAGTGGAGATAATCCTGCACTGGGTTGGGTACGTAAAGAGAGCACAGGAAAAACCATACTGGATTTCAGCTGACTCACCCTTTCATTTCTGTAAGGTGCTATGACGTTGCTTTCTTTAATGTAAATAACCTGAAATCAAAGTGAAAACATGACCTTTATCTAAAAACCTGCCATCACAAATATTACAATTGTGCAACAATTAAATATACAGTAATATAGAAAAATGTGAAGACCAAATAAAACAATCCATCTGCATTTATTAGTGTAATGGCAAAAAAAACAAAAAAATTAGAACTCACCTGCCCACATAAAATTGAGATGGCTGATGGCCTGTAAGCAAAATACAAAAATACTTTGTAAGATTTACGCTCCAAGAAAACGTAAACACAAAACTGATTCACTGAATTAAATAATGACAACTGAATTTTGGGATACCGTTAAAAAACACTGAATTACAAATTTGTTGCAGACCAAACTACCTGGGTATGTCAGCCAAAATGCTGTGCACAAGAGTGCATCCCAAAATGCAAAGACCAAATTACAATTCTTTGATGCATTTGTAGATGCAACATGTACATACATATGTGATGTGCATGTGCCTTCTTGAAATAACCAACCCAGTTTGACAAACTAAATACACATCATCATGTGAACATGTAATTTCAAAGATTAAACCATCCACACTCAATCAAAGTGTTCTTTCTCTCCACGAGCTCGATGTTCTCACAGTCTCGAAGGGGAATCTGCAAAAATTACATATTATGATTTACATTTCGGTTTATACAATATCGTGGAAACAGAGTACTGTCATACTGGCCTTTATATTAACAGTCTGGATTTCACTATGTTAGGCAATTTTCACTTTTCTCAAACAGCTTATACTGTTCAGCTTTCCACATTAAGATGACCTTCATGATTCCTGTGTGAACATTTTGATCCCAATATTTCCAATTTTGTGTCAACTTCAGTATTTTTTTTATACCTCATTTCACATTTTACTCAAAAAGGCTATTTGCCTCCTAGCAAGAGTTAAAACACATACTATACATAAAACAATTATTCAAACAAACCTTTACAATCGGCTCTGTCAGATTCTCTGGATCAAATATGACCGATCTGGAACAGACCTTGAATGAACCTCTGATTTTTCTGGAAGGAAATCAGGTAATGTTGCTGTTTGTTAGGATAGGGCCACATGTGCAACACTGATACTATCAAGACTTTAAAACTGATAAATCAAATATTTTGCACAGCGATACAGACAAAGCGTTGATTAACTGATCTTCTGGAAAAGTTGACAAAAAAAGTCAATTAAATGCTGCCACCTTTTTTAAGCAAGCTCCATCTCAACCATTTGTTAAAAACAAATTTTCTCAGCAGAATGAAAATAAACAACAGATTATAGAACCAGAATTTACCAGTTGGGAGAGGATTCTAGTTTTTTGAGGTTCTCATCTCATTTTGTGCCATAAAGTGTGGGTCTACTGACAAAGCCATACGGGAGACCAGAGGGATGTTTTCAGATCACTATCACAAATCAATCTTATACATCAGCTTCGTAAATTATCTGTCTTATGGTCAGTTAAATTATCGTGCTCATGAGTGATTAACCACAGATTTGTAATTTTGATTACTTAAAATTAAAACTATGAAAAATCTAAACTAAACTAAAACAGGATTTATTAAACTGATGTATTAACCACACAACCAATACTAGTGCTGGTCCAAAATATAAGTATCAGTATGTCTACTAGTATATTTTGCAACTCAATACAAACTGAGTTTACACTGGTTTGTACTGCCTCCAGGAAATAGCCGTATGTTGCACTAAAAGGTTTAACAGTGACAAAGGGTTTCACCTTCTGTCGACTTGCCTTTTGTTACCACTCTACCAACAATATGAATTAAAGCCCTTCAACATGAACATGTTATTGGGATTAAAGGAACTGCACTATGTTGGTTCAAATCTTACTTATGAGAAAGATTTCAATTTGTTCATGTTAATGATGAATCTTCCACACAAACTGAAGTTAGTTACGGCGTTCCACAGGGCTCTGGTGTTAGGTCCAAGTCTCTTCACCTCATACATGCTCACATTAGGCGATATTATCAGGAAGCACAGCATAAATTTCCATTGCTATACAGATGATTCTCAGTTATATTTATCTATGAAGCCAAATGAATCAGATCAGCTGGTCAAACTTCAAGCATGTCTTAAAGACATAAAAGCCTGGATGATCTCTAATTTCTTACTTCTAAACTCTGACAAAAGTGAAGTCATTTTGGTCTGAAAACCTTAGAAATCTGCTGTCTAATCATATAGTAACTTTAGATGACATAGCTCTCGCCTCCAGTACTACTGTGAGGAACCTTGGAGTCATTTTTGACCAGGATATGTCCTTTAAATCACACATAAAACAAGTCTCTAGAGCTGCCTCCTTTCGCCTGCGCAATATTGTGAAAATCAGGAGCATCCTGTCTCAAAGTAATGTTGAAAAACTGGTCCATGCATTTGTTACTTCCTGGCTGGACTACTGTGACTCTTTACTAACAAGATATCCCAATAATTCCATAAAAATCCTCCAGTTAATTCAGGGCGCAGTCCTGGCTCTAGCCTCTGGGTTTTCCCTCTGTAATAATAGTGATAATAGTAAGGTCTAGACCTTACTTTGTAAAGTGTCCTGTGGCTATAAAGATGGGAATGGGACATCTGCTCAAATAAGTAACAAAATGAACTGTGGGATTTTAGGATATAGATCTACAGTAGAGACCGAGTGGTAGTAGAGATAGATGTTGCAATGTTTATATTATAAAAAATTTGAAAACACAGTGAATTTGTAAACACTTGGGAGAACACTCATTTTCTGGTTCAGTGAATTTGCATGTATTCATATTAACTAAGTCTTAGTGGAGTTTTGTGGTGGAGAAACAGAAAAATATGCAGTATGTATTTAAGGGGTTGCCATTCAGGGATGCAAAAATGAGGGACAAGACACTAAAAATTTATACAAATACTTGCACTAAATGTGTGAAATCACTATTACTACAGTCACAGGTGCAAGGGGCTTTCCCAATTTGTTCTCTTCATGTGCACCGATTAGTTAAGCTGAGCCGCCAATCGGTGTGGTCTATCTCACCAACGGGGTCCGCTGCCGAGTCAACACACTGAATTGACTGAAACACCACCAACAGGGTCCAACTAGTGCCAACAGTGTGAGACACACCACAAAACCTAAGACAAGTGACACTCACCGATGGCTGGACAATGACCGATGGCCGACCGTCAGCTTGGAATGTCACAGGCCTGAGACAACACTGGGGCTGAGCAGCTCTACAATAACCAAACTTACAACAAACTGTCAGTGATACAGCGTTTGCTTCCTACTCACTCTTCTGTGATGCTCCTGCCTCTTCACTACTTTCCTGATCATCTCACACAGCAGCAGCTTAAATAACTCCGTTTTCTTTATTCATCACTCCTCTACACCAAGGGCTGAGGATTTCCTCTCTCTCTCTTTCTCTCTCTAGGTTTCATTGGCAGCCACATGCAAAAAAGTGCCAGAGTCCAGTACTTTGCGGCCGGGATGGCAACAGCCCTGAATGCTAAAACAGCTTGCACCAGTAATGTCGCTGCAGCTAAATTAAAGTTTGCATTCTCAGTCACTGGAACCAGTTGAAGCAGGTGACTTATCTACAATGTTACATCGAGGAATCCAACTTATTTTACTCTGGAGGCAATTTAAATGGCAACAAAGTAAAATATCTCAAAATAAAAAAATACAGGCACACAACATTCTACTTTGTTACAGAAACAAAGGGAATTGTATTTCATTATTTCCATCCCTGTACTAAATATAGATGACTCATTGCTGTTAATAACCTGAATTACCTGCTTGTCACGTTGTATGCGGTGTGCTGTTCAAAAAAATACTCCTCCAAATCCAGCAACAAGAGAGAAAATCTGGGGAAGAACAACAAAGGAGTTGACATGAAACAAATGCAGAATATAGCTTAGATCTCAGCAGAAACTAGAGAAATGCATTTCCTGTCATAAATGCATAAATGCTTGTAGATGCTGATAAGCTGAAAGATCATCTGGAAAATGCCTAAAATCAATTGCTGAAACATCTGAAAGATGAGAAGAAATGGCTGAAGTTCTTTATTCAATAATCTGAAGGATGAGATGCAATAAATAAAGAGCTGAACATTTTAATAGCTGAAATAGTTGAATGTATGCTGAAGTAGAAGTTTGCCATTCATTTGAATAGGGCAAGATTTTCAAAATAAAGCTAAATATTTCAAAAGTATGAAGTTTAGAAAAATTCTGAACAAAAACATGAATGTCCCTGAAGAGCTGAACATTTTAATAGCTGAAATAGTTGAATGTATGCTGAAGTAGAAGTTTGCCATTCATTTGAATAGGGCAAGATTTTCAAAATAAAGCTAAATATTTCAAAAGTATGAAGTTTAGAAAAATTCTGAACAAAAACATGAATGTCCCTGAAGAGCTGAACATTTTAATAGCTGAAATAGTTGAATGTATGCTGAAGTAGAAGTTTGCCATTCATTTGAATAGGGCAAGATTTTCAAAATAAAGCTAAATATTTCAAAAGTATGAAGTTTAGAAAAAATCTGTAGCGAAACATGAATGTCCTTGAAGAGCTGAACATTTTGATAGATGAAAGAAACCAGAATAATAATAAACACTAGCATAACATAGTATGGATGCTGACTCAGCATCCACACAATAATAATAATAATAATAATAAAGAATAGGATAACATAGCGTGGGTGCTTCGCATCCACACAACTAGAGAAATGTGTTTTCTGAAGAAAATGCGTATGGATGCTGAGTGCTGAAAGATCGTCCTGAAAATGCTTAACATTTTTATAATACGGTAGTAAATCTTTAAACCTTTTTGTGGATAAGAATGGTCGGTAAAGGTGTTCAATTTGTGTTATTTGCTTTAATTTACTAGCGATTTAATTTTTAATGTTGTGTAGATTTTTAGTTCCACTTCCTGTGTAACAGTAAAAAGTGTCCCATAAGAAGGCCTCCATCTTGTTCTTGTGAACGGCTGCAAACGAGTTGTTAATTTCGAGGTAATTTTCAGGAGTAAGTGGTGAAATGCGGCGTCATTCCTAGTTTTTAAGTTGGGTGAATACGGTGAGAGCGTGATAGCCCGGAGATTTTGTTGTTAACGGGTAGGATTGAACATTGTTTATTTTACGCTAACATTGCTAATGCTAATCCTCTGGCTGGTTGCGGCCACGGTTTGTTGTCATGAACCAAGTAGGTATCGTGTTTCAACCTCTCACTGTCTGGTAAAGTTGAGGAATTTTATTGTTTTGTTTTGATTTATTCTTGGTGGGGAGATCAGTATTTTACATTATTTTTGGAGGGGGGGGGTCTGAAAACCGTGTTGGGGTGAACGGTATAGAATAGTATTATTTGTGGTAGATGTGAGAATCAAGCTAGTGGTTATAAGGTAATTATTTTTGCTTGTTGAAGGTGATGTAGTCTGCTGCTGAAAATTGTATTTTAATCTTGTTATTCCTCAGTTTATCAGCGTTATTGTTGGGTGCAAGACTGTAGAGCGTAGAATGAAAAAATAAGAATAGACAAACATGAACCTGGAATTGTTCATCTTTATTCTCCCAGGGTTTATTATTGGTTTGACTAGCAGGGAGCTGCTGATATCTATAACAAATGCAATACAATAAACATTGTCCTGTTAAGGACTGACAGTGTTCCAAGGCAAAATGTGTTTCTTTTACTCTTGCACTATTTATGGTCGTCATGTTTCAGTTTACAGTTAAATTTTTTTGAATTTGACGTTTGGTAATTTAATTTGATTTTTCATTTAATATATGTTATTTAGAACAAGTTATTCAATTCAAAATAAATGTTATTTGTACAATTGTAACAGCATTGTTGAGGCACTTTTAATCTGGGCCGAATACAGCACGTCGTTATTACATGGCTTGATTAAGGTATGCCTTAGGCTAACGTCCAGTGCCAGTGCTGAAACTGTTCTGGCCCACACAATGCACTTATACTCGGCCAACATACCACAAAGAATGACGGCCCTTTGGTGGCCCAAACCTGGTTTGCCAGAGCTGGCAAATGCTGTTGGTCATTCCAGGTTTGTACTTAAAGGTTTGTTCTGAAATCAAATATCTGTATTCATTCATACTATTTGAAAAACTCAGTGTATGTATTTTGCTGTTGTAATCTTAAATCAAAAACACACACACACACAGCAATAAGGAGAACCTGGATTTATTTGGAGTGGAAGTTGCCTGTCTGCAGACACAGCATTGCTGGATCAGACTGATCAACACCAACAATCCTACAGAGCCAGAGGCATCATCTCAGCAGACTACCAGAATTGTATTGTTGATTTTGAATACAAGACAGTAAACAAATATACAAGGGTTTAGAAAATTCACATTGCTTCTAACATTGAAAATACAACCATTATAAGATTTGAAACTGCAACACAATCTCAACTATCAATCAAAATTGGACCCATCTGGACTGCATAGAGAAATGCTTTATAAGACTATAAACGCTATGGAAAATAGCATAGCTGGAAGGCTCGAGCTTGTTACAGTAGCATCGTTGTAGGGAAGAGATAAACAGTAGATCGTAGCGTCTTCTGCTGCCAAACTGCGTAGCAGGATGCAGCGAACTGGCGGTGTCAGCCCGTCTCAGCCGCTCGTAAATGTTTAGCTGATGAGAATCAGCTCTGCTGGGAGTGTCTGCAGGGAGAGAGAGGGAGCGAGACAGCGAGAGATGCGGCAATGAGCAAACGTGACATCTGCATTCAGTTTCATACCCTGTTGTGTTATTCCACTGTTGTATTATGTCAAGATATTAAACAAAATGAAGGAAACGTGGTGAATTATAAATACCCCGACGTTTTCCTTTCAGCATCTTTTTTACTGCAAGTCTATGGAGCAGTAAGACGGTACGCTCTGAAATGTGTGACTTACACAACTACCGTCCATCCCATCGCAATAACAATGACAGTTGGATTCGTGACAACTTTCTCTACGAGTTTTATCTGTTATATGTGTATAAAGCTTAAGGGTGGCATAATAGGAGCAGAAATACGGCAAGGAGGAAAAGGAAAAACACAGAGAGACCAGCTAGAGCAGGGAGTCACATGACTCAGAGGGTGCCACTGGGATTGCATTGGCCCATTCATTGTCTGTGGAGAAATATGTCAATTATAAAGAAACCATAAAAAACATCAAGATGATTGCACCATTGGTAGCTGAACTTCTCACGAGTTGAACAGAGTTGAAATGGTGTTTCTAGCCCAAGGTATGCCGGAGATATTAAGGTTCAAACATTTTCACAATGGGAAAATTTTTGTGCAAAAAGCTGATTTTATTAAAAAGTATAAAAGTTATAAAAAATCTGTATACAAGCACATGTCCTTAATAAGATGAACATTTTCACATTTTAATGGTCTTTCTAGGTGAAAGTATGCTGGACTAGTTGAACGCCGAAGAACAGTGGCACAAAACAGAATAATAATAAAGAATAGGATAACATAGTGTGGTTGCTTCACATCCACACAATAATGGAAAACAAGAGCGTGGCTGCATAGCATCCACACAACTAGAGAAATGCATTTTCTGAAGAAAATGTGTGTGGATGCTGTGTGCTGAAGGATTGCCCTGAAAATGCTGAACTTTTTGACACCTGAAAGGCATATCTACCTGAAACTATACTGAAGTAGAATTTTCCCATTCATTTTAATGGGGCAAATTTTTCGGAATAAATGCTGGGGGTAGCTGAAAGTATGTGGGAGGAGATGAGCGGTGAAAAACGTATGGAAGAAACTATAATCAGATATGGAAAACAAGAGTGTGGTTGCATTGAATCCACACTAATAAAAATGAAAAACAAGAGTGTGGCTGCACAGCATCCACACAATATAGGACAAGATAACATAGTATGAATGCTTTTCAGCATCCATACAATAATAATAATAATAAAGAACAGGATAACATAGTATGGATGTTGAATCAGCATCCATACAATAAAGACCTCATTACCTCTTTCACAAATACACCCACAATTATTACAGATAAAAAATAATCAAATTCTTCCCACAATTTTCACATATACAGTATATCATCAAGTACAGCAGCTTCAAAAACATCTGTTAGGCCTCATTTATACTTAGACTGCTTCTCTCCATTAGATCTCTCTGAGCTAACGTATTACTTCATCCAATCCATCAACATGTCTCTTAGACCCCATCCCAACCAGACTGATTAAAGATGTTTAATCAATAAGTCTATATTAGATCTGATCAGCAGGCATTTTCTCATAACCTGTTTGCCATTTGTTGAAAGGCAGTCCAATCACATCATACAGTATTTACAGGGTTAGGCAAATTACTGCATTATTGGCTGAAATAATCACCCTTTTACTCAAGTCAAAACAGTTTTATGAGTGCAAATGCAGAGATGGACAGTGTGTGCATGGGGTAACTGTGGTAAGTACTGGACACTCTCAGTAGCACCCACGTTAGCCGGCTAGCTTCCACAGTATCATTAGCAGCCTGTCTGGTTCACTCATGCTGGGAAGCTGACGGGCCCCACTGCCTCTGGTTTTACCACAAGGAGCTCACCATTGTTGGCTACTGTGTGAGTCATGCTAACAGCAGCAGAGTGAACAGAGTTAAAACATGAACAAACAGTTCCTTTCTCAGTGCATAGGAAGCATATGCCTGTAAGTATAAATGTACAAGCTGTTTGTGAAGTTAAATACGTAGTGTGCCCTCTCTCTCCCTGTACCTTTCTGCAGGTAGCCCTGGCTCTGGAGCTCTATGTCTCTGATGAGCCACATCAACCTGCCCAGTATTTGATTGTTGTTGTGTTTATTGTGTCTTGTTGCTTTCACTTTCTTTTCTCTCTCCTCCATCCACTCACCACAAC